GGGCGGCGGGGCAGCGGGGGCGGGGGGGGGGGGGGGCGGGGGGGGGGGGGGCGGACAGGATCGCCGCTGCTCCTTTCCTACAAGTGACACACAGACATTTTTGCCCGTCTTTTGGGGGGAAAAAAGTGCGTCTAATGGAGCGAAAAATACGGTATATAAATAAAAGTACCACAGCTCACATATATTAATAAATCCAAAGTGCTAGTGTGCATAAATAAAAGTGAAATATTCCACTTTTCATTAATCGTGCTCCCAAGTCCGGGTACCCGGGAAACATGCAACACACTCACCAAACATCCATGACCATATATCCCAATGGTCAAAAAACATAATAGTGGTGAGTGGTTTTCCTTTCCTTGATGGGGTAACTTCTCCTTAACCTTACTCACACTGCTTCCAGCCGATGTCTCTCACAAGGGGAATTCCAGTACCCAGAGAGATAACAGAACAATAGTGTAGTATGCAAAGGCAGATTCTTTGTATTAAAACGGTTAAAAACATTCACAGAGATACCAGGAAATGAATGCATTCATGTATAAAAGCAACAAACAAACAATCCTCCAAACGAACTGTAGCTGATAACTTCCTGCTTCCTGTGACTAGACCTCAGTATGTGCCTATCATTTTCTTTAAATGCCATTACCACTCATCAGTTTAAGGCTAGCCATAAATGAGGGATCTATAATTACAACCCCTATATACAAAAAGTTGGGATGCTGTGTAAAATCTACATAAAAACCGAATGCAATAATATGCAAATCTCATAAACCCATATTTTATTCCCAATAGAAAATGGAAAACTTATCAAATGTTTAAACTGAGAAAATGTACCATTTTAACAAAAAATAAGGTAATTTTGAAATTGGTAGCAACTCTACTACAGAATGATACCCAATATGTGTTGCACAATCAATGTTTAAATACATGTGTCCTTCCTATGCGCACGTTCATATGTGTTTGCAGGGAGACCAGGCGTTTTTACTTGTTGTTTGTTATTTTTAATACATTTTAAATGTAACAATTTTAAATAGTTTTTTCCCTTAACTTTATTGCTATCACAAGGGGCTAACAAGATTACAGGTACTCCATATGAAGACATTGGGGGTCTATTAGACCCCTAATGTCATCCCTTCTCTCTGCTCCAGCCAAAAGATCACAGAACTGTGCTCAGTCAGCTGTTTAACTGGCTTTTCAGATAGGATTTTGACAGCTTTGAACCTGGAAATGCTCAGAGCTGAACATCTCCTGGTTCACATGATTGAGTAGTTTTGTAGCAGTGAGCTTGTTTTAACCCATTTAAATGTGAATGTACCTGAAACATTAAAAGACCCCAAGCGGATAATCTTAACTTGTAAATACCGAACAACACATTCAAAGCGCTTTTAAAATTTATATGACATGTATAGGAAAAATATAGTTTTGTTTCCAGTGTTTCCTCTAAAGTCCTCTAAACTTACAGGTTTGGTATTGTATTACTTTTATATTTAAAGATAAGCCACTAAGGGCTTGTTCACACCAAATGCAGACCAAATCGTCATGAGTTTCTGTGCACACAGTGCAGTGGGTTGTGCCGTGTTTTTTCTGCGCTTGTGTCGCGTTTTTGATGCGTTCCGGGCCATTTTTGGAAAAAAAAAATATATACATATTTTTTTAGCCTAAAATGGACTTTCAGTCCGTTTGCGTCAGGTTCAGTTAAATTACTGTGTATCTAAAGTTGAGATGAAAAATGTACAATATTGCAGCTTACCAGCCCTTAGATGTGGTGGATGTATTTTTTTTTTAGGTTAAGTGCACTTTCTGCAAATACAGTAAGGGTCTGTAAGCTAATGCTGTTTGCAGGGCATTACGGCATACTGTGTTGGTATCTGGCTTGCCCTCTTTTTAATAGTGACACTCTGTGCCAGAAAGTTATGGTTGGTTGGGGAGATATCATGTAACAAAGCTGTGCAGTAAATGCACTGCTTTGTCTTAATCCCTGCCTTCATTTGTTATTTATCTGACAGCAATGGGAGACACAGTAGTGTAATGTAGAAAGATGAAGGTAGTCACTCACACTCCATGATATTAAAGTCAATGCTGTTTAATGACTGAGATAAAACACATCTCCTTAGCAACGTTTCGGACTGTCCGGCCCTTTCCTCAGGCAAACAGAGAGGATGTGTTTTATCTCAGTCATTAAACAGCATTAACTTTAATATCATGGAATGCGAGTGACTACCTTCATCTTTCTACATTTCACAGAGGCATCCGTTGTCACTACCGCACCCACCCAGTTGGATTTGGGTTTTGCGTCCAGTTAGGAGTGCGATGGGACAGGAGAAAAAGTTACAGTAGTGTAATGTACATCATTGTTTGTGCAATTGTTTTTGGAAACAAAGGGGTCTATTCACTAAGCTGCCGTAGGCAGCCGAGTGAATGACCGACCTGAAGTGAAGTGAGCCGAACACTGTTCACACCAAATGCACGGCTGATTTCAGCCGTACATCGGCTGAAATCAGCCGTACATGGGCTTGCTTCGCGTGGCTTCGGGTCGGCCGAACATGCTCAGCATGTTTGGCCGAACCGAAGTGCAGAAGGAGTTTGACTCAGCCAATCCAACATTTGGATCGGCTGAGCCGAACTTCCGGCAGGCTACTCACTGCTGTTCGGCCGATTCTTAAAGATGCCGAACAGCAGTGAGTGAATAGCCGAATGCGGCATTTGGCTCGGCTGTTCTGCTCGGTCCCTCAGAGGTACCGAGAAGAACAGAAAAAGAGTTAAAAAAGGTAAAAAAAAGTAAATAGAAAACGATTGTGTGGAGCTAGCAGTGACAGCTAGCTCCGCCCAATAGTTTCCTATTGTCCGGCGGCTCTGCTGCTGTCAAAAAAATAACTCTCCCGGGCGCTCTGGGAGCCTCCAGCTCCCGGCCGCCCAGGAGAGAAGCACTGCTGTGTCTTTTTTTTTCTTTATTCTGACACGAGCGATGTCAGAATAGAAAAAAAATTATATATACATTTTCCCATTGAAAAGCATTGGGACATTACTATTGGCTATTTCAATTTGCAATAGCCAATAGTAAACTAGCATTTGTTGATTTTTGAGAAGCAAATCACATCTTCATTATTTTACAGAGAAACAATTGGACACAGAGGGATTTACAGATTATCTGCTACTTCTGTAGGAACTGGATCTTTCTCAGGTTTGGATTATTTTACATTATTTTACTAATACTAAGTGGGTAGTAAAACATTGCTGTGTGCGTGGGTGCAATAATCATGTTTAATCTTTATATCCGATGACACATTTTGAGGAGCTCTGTACAACCATTCAACCCTGATGATTCATTCAGATAGCGATTATCTAAGCTTTATCTTTCTGGATGAAACAAAAGCTGAACAGCAAAACTCCCCATAGAGAGGGTTAAAAACAAACTGATGTGAGGGAAGCTACCCCTGGGTACCATTAAGGTAATGTTTTCCAGAATTACAGTCCAGCTGAACTGGTGTGAACTTTGTAAACTCTTCTTTTAAAATGTGCATGCTTTTGTTAAAGGCACCCTAGCCTTCAATGTGTTACTATTCTTTGCTTACACCTAAAATAGTTACTCAAACATCAGTGTATATTCTGATTCATTTATAAGTTGTAGTGTAGGTATTAGTTTCAGCAGTAACCCAGAAGTATGCTGTATTGTCGCAACAGGTGACACACTATGGGCATGTGTCAATGGGCATTTAAAAGAAAAGTCTATGGGCATGCAAAACTCACATGAAGCAGATCAAATGTGACATCAGTCTGATGTCAAACTGATACCATCAACACAAGCCCAAAGCCTGTTGACACAGGCCACGCAGGGTCCCCTTCATCAGGTTTTAGTATGGCATACTAAAACCTGATGAAGGGGGCCCTACGTGGCCCCGAAACATGGTTTTGTGACAGTCTGCATCAATAAAGAAGATGAATTATTGACACAAGACATAGGTTTGCTGGTGACATTTATCATATATTTGAAGATGCACCATCCCACAATAGGTCCTACCTTGAAGATGGCCCATTCCTCTTCTCTCCGAACAGTCTTGGAGCGGAAAGTTACCAGCATGACTCCTATCTTCAGTAACACTGAGTTCCCTCCTGGAATGGCGGATAGACAACTCCTAGCGCTCAGGGACCATGGAAAATTTACGTTAGGAGATATCCTGACCTTATCATGCTTACCTTCTTTGAGGGAACTCTCATCCCTCTCCTCCCCCCTCAGTTAGAAACTCTTGCAATTATCCCATTTTTTACAGACATTACATTGGAAATTTGATGCCTCCTTTTCTCCCCTTCCCTTTGAAGCACTTTGCACTGAAAAAGGCCAGTTCAGACATGCCCTGCTATATCCTTACCAACTCCTTTTTACCCCTTCAGATCACTACTGTCCCTCTTTTCTTGTTAAATGGGACATTCAATGCAGAACAACGGGCTAATATTTTAGATTTCTCCCACAGATCCTCTATTTCCACCAGAGTTCAAGAATCGGAGTACAACATTTTAATTTGCTGGTATAAGACCCCCACTCTGCTACATAAAATTTGACTCCAGGTGTCACCTTTATGTTGGAGATGTAAAAATTACAAAGGCCCACTTGTAAATATTTTTTGGCACTGTGGCACCTTTTGGGAGCAAATCAGATAACACATCTCCAATTTAACTGGGATAGACTTTGGGGATAACACAGCTGCCTACCTCCTGCATCTGTCCCCGCTTTCCAGAAAACATTACAAACATTCTTTACGGATTCATCTTGTAAATGCAGCCAGAATCTGCATACCTATTCTATGGAGACAGGAGATTCTTCCTTCTATTTCAATGTGTTTTTTTCCAAGATGGCAGAAATCAACACCACGGAAGACCTCACCACCTCCTTGTATCATAGGCAAGATAAATACTGTAAGAACATGGTTTTATTGGATTACCTTTACTTTGTCAGAGGAATATGTCTCTCTCTTCCGTACCTCAGTGGCTGAGCCTGGGGTTGTGTGGGGAATATGATTGTGAACCCTGTTCCTACCTGTTTGTTCTAGCCCCTTTCTGGTTTCCTTTCTTCACTTTCTACTACCTCTCCTACTTTCTTTTTGGTGACCCTAGATAACCTCGGGTTGATCGCACGTCCCCGGGATGATGACAATACATTTGGGTGTCTGCCAGAAAAACCCAAACAAAAAAATTAAATATATAAATAAATAATAAAAAAGAGTGGACAAACTGAACTGGTGTTTGTAATAGGGTTCATTCTATATCATGTTTTCCATGTGTCTGTTATATATTGGTAAAATATGCTAATGTTTTTCTGTCTTTACAGGCAAAAGCAAAGTGAGGAACTGTAGTAATGGTAAGTAAAATAGTGATTGAGAAACTGCATCTTTCATTGTATTTTTAATCCATACCTATTACAGCAATGACCAGCAAAAGTGTGCCAGTTTTCTGAAATTTAAGCAAAGATGACCATCTTATTCCTGCTAGGAGTTCTGACAGCCCACAGTAGGCTCAACAACAAACTGAATCCTTAGACTTTTCTACTGGTGTTCTGGGAAATCCTATAACAACGCTAATAAAGTTTAGGATTGCCACTACCACAGGCTTGCACTGAATCCCAAAGGATTTATAGCATTTGAGAATCACAAATGTTTAGCTATAAGTAATAACTTGTAATAGAATGTGTAGTCTTTTCCCCAGTAAGAGTCATAAGAGTCAATTATTTGAAGTAATTAATAACCCACCCCCATTTCTTTTAAATATTTGGCTCACAGCATCCATATTGTCAGTGTGTGCGCTGGTACTCTTGTTGGTACATGTCTGACATGGCTGTGCCCTGCTTCCTGTTCTTTCCTTTATTTCATATGATAAAAACCTACTCGATAGCCCGTTGAATGGGTAGAATTGAATAATTAGATTCATTTTAATATGGTTCTCTGCAAGCTTCGAACAAAATTTGTAAAACTGTTCGCAAGTTGAACCCAGGCTGATTAGCTATTACAATTATCAGCAGCATTATCAGCCTTCCATGTGAGCCACTCAGGTATATCAGATACACATCCTAACAACCAACTGAAGGTGCTTGCATGGCAGGCTGACAATGGTATTGCTACAGCCTGCAACAGCAAGTACTGTTGTTGGAAAGATCTCCAAACAAGAATTTTTCTGCAGCATAGGATCCATGCGATCTTGCACGCTTCTTACAGCTGTCAAAATTTTGTGCTAGTGGGTGCTGTAGTGACAAAACAATGGATGGTGCAATCATATGGTACAAAGTAGTAAAGGAAGGCATCACCTGCACACCAAATTATAAAAAAAGGAACATATTTTGCCACAAGCTCATAGTACGACATTTCAGGGTTTCAGAGGACCCTCTGAAGTCTGAGCTTACTACCTTGATGAAGGCATCCCCTGCGACCCTGCTGCTAAACTTTGCAACGGATTCACAAAAAATGAACATTTTCTTAAGAAAACTATATCCAGTAAAGCATGATGTCAAACAAACTAAAAATATGTTTGGCGTTTACACCTTAACTTAAACCTATTAACTTAACATTGCAATGTAACGCTTATCACCTGGAAGATTAGACAGCCAATCTTTAGTGGCATGAGAAACTAACAGTCAGAGTAGTAGAATAAAAAAAAATGCTAACCAAACAGAAAATAAGGACAGAGTTGTAATGCCCATATTAAAAGTTAACTTTTTCCTCATCATGCATTGGTATTTGTAATATTATGATTTATTGTTTTGTATACTGATATGACACATTCCTATAGCCAAGTAACTAACACCCTGGTAACTCATATTATCTCTTCTGTAATCGAGTCTGTGACTGTTTCTTGGAACAGATAATGATACACTATCTTACATCAGTCGTATCTTCAGCAATCCTCCTCTGGACTTGACTCCTGAATTCAACCCAAAGATCAAAGACTACTATGTAGAACTGCCATTTGATGTAGTGACAGTGGAAATTGGAGCAGAGCCTGCACACTGCAAAAGCCAAGTGCACCTGGATGACAGGGATGGGCCAAGGTATAAAATCAGATGTGATCTGCAAAGAAATACAATTAATATTTGTCCTTATTCAATAAATGGCTTAAGAGGTTTAAATGCAGTGAATTCTTACATTTGTTGAGAACAAAACAAACTATTCCTCCAGGTCAGTTATATACATTGCATGGATTTTAGCTAACATTATTACAGTCTCCTAGAGCTGAAGCTGATTGGCTTCCCGGCCAATCAGGAAGCCGGGAGGCAGGTCATTGCTCCCCGACCGGCTTCCTAATTAGCCGGGAAGCTGGCTTGATGCCGATTGCCTGGGAAGGTGGTTTCCCATCCAATCACAATCGAGCAGGCCAAACAACATGGAGCCAGCTTCCCGGGCAATCAGGAAGTTGGGTGGTATGTAATTAACCCCCACCAAGTTTCCTAATTGCCTGGGAAGCCTACTCCATGCCAGTGGAAGCACCGATATAGGTACTTGGTATTGGCAAGTACCGAAAACAAAATATCGGTATCAGTGCATTCCTAATGTCTTATATAGTACCGTGTTCTACTTTAAAGCAACAAATACTTATGGAACAAGGTTAGTTGATTTGTACAACTGTTGATCAACATTTTCACAACAACCTGTGTTACAAATATACTATTTTCATGTTCACTATAGTGAAATGAACATGAATAACTGTACAGTTAACAACATATATTATATTTCTACCTATGTTCTAGGTGACTCCAAATTGGAGGACAAGCCTCCCTGTTTATTTTTAGTCATCGACTGGGAACTATCCAGAATAGATGGTCATACTGATAACTACACTATAACAATACTAAATTAAATTAGGGATACCTCCAAGGGACTTCTTTTTTTATATACAAAAACTCAAATAATAAAGTCACAATATTTAAATGCATATGAAGACCAATATATATTTTAATGGAGGAGCACATTTCCAGAACTCCAAATAAAGCACACTATGAACTGACAAAACCGCTAGAAAACAAAAGGGAACAGAGCGCCACCTCTGTGTGTAAAATTGTTTATTACAATAAATAAAACAAGGGATACAAGTACTCACAAATAAACATTTTCATCAGGCTCTAACAACAAACGAGAGGCCACACTGTCTGTTAACCCAACATGGTATCGCCCCGACTATGTAACACAGTAGCCTCCGGTCACATCACCGTTCACCGACCGCAGTCAGCCAAGATTGATGCGTTTCAGGGGCAAGCCCCCTTCATCAGAATCATCAATCATGACAAAACCGCTACTTCATCCCTAATTACTGTAACAGTTTGTCATAAAAAAGAAACACAATCAAAAATATTTGCAAATCACTAAAATCATCCTGCTACCAAGCTACTTCTATACAGGCGGCTCTTTAGGAGTATGTACATTTCAGGAATGTCTGTCCATACTTTAATGTGGACATCAGGGGGCACATGGAAATTTACTTTACCTTGTGCTAGGTAGATATATTGCTAAATGGCAGCATTAAGTAAATGTAACTAAAAGTTATGCATTTTCTATTATTTTAAACAGGAAATGATCACAGTGATAATTACCACATAGCTTTGCACTACAAGTCTGTGTGAGGACACATATGGTGAGTGGTGTGTCCATTATTGCTCTGCCAAGCACAGAGCATTGGGTAGACTCATTTACCTCAACAGTATAAAGATGTGTGAAAATCACCTGCACCAAAACACAGTAAATGCTCCTGAAAATGGTCTTCCAAAAGTATATACGCGGGGGCAGCTTTTCACAGTCAACCGCAAATCTGATGAGGACTAAGCAAAAGGAGCGCCTCCCTAGTGTAAAATTAATTTATTAAGGATAAAACACACAGCTGAAAAGGTACTTCCAAACCAGCTTGTATAAATGAGCAGAAAGAGATATAATCTTAGGAGACCATCAAGATGAATACACGAAAATGGGGTGAGGGAAAGGAAGTGCTAGTACTAAGCCGAAGCCATCTGCACGCTGACCCTCCTTCAGTTGACGCGTTTCTGAGGACAAACCTCTTTCATCAGAACCTGAAACATCACTATCTTTGCCTGACTCTTAAACAAAAGGTGAATAGAGAATGACCAATCATGATAAGGAGACCATCAAGATGAATACACGAAAATGGGGTGAGGGAAAGGAAGTGCTAGTACTAAGCCGAAGCCATCTGCACGCTGACCCTCCTTCAGTTGACGCGTTTCTGAGGACAAACCTCTTCCATCAGAACCTGAAACATCACTATCTTTGCCTGACTCTTAAACTAAAAGTGATTAGAGAATGACCAATCATGATAGATCAATCATGATCTATCCAAGAATGGTCACATGGAGCCTCTCAGCCTATTATACAATGTGCAGCTGTCTCTGCAGGTCCGCCCGCTCGAACCAGCTGCCACAAATAAATTAGCAGCACTGGAGCACACCTCTTAACCAGAGTCTTAGCCTGATGGGCCAATGAGAGGCACACCTGCAGAGAAAGTGACAGCTCTTCTCTCCTCCAACCGCTGAACAGCGAGACGAGACACGCCAGCGCCGGGCTGCCTGAGGGAACGTATAAAGATGCCCTCATTTGGCCGGGCGACACTGGGGCTCCTAAAACCGGCCAAAGGGAGAAGGGGAGGAGAGTGGGTGTGTGTGTTCTCCAGTTTCACCTATTGTGGCAAACCTGTACAATGGAGGAAGTAGAAAGCAAGGCCCTGACCACCTTCATGGGAATTACACCAAGTCATTGGTTCAGATATGTGGATGAAACTTGGGTTAAGATTCACAAACAAGAGTTACAGGCTTTCACTGACCATATCAACTCAGCGGATCATAACATCAAGTTTACGCGGGAAGATATGCAAAACAAAAAACTGGCTTTTTTGGATTGTTTAGTAACAGTAGAAGAGGGAAGGAGGCTGGAAATAGAGGTCTACCGAAAAACAACACACACGGACCAGTACCTGCTATTTGACTCCCACCACCCTCTAGACCACAAACACCACCGGGCAGAGAAAATTCCCACCAGAACGGAGGCCAAGACGAAGGAATTCAAACACCTCAGGAGGGCCCTTTAAAGCTTGCGGGTATCCAGACTGGGCCTTTGTCAAAACAGAAAGAAGAGGGAAGAATGCCAAGAGTACCAGTGAGAGAGAAAAGCATGACAAACGGAATAATTTGATCATCCCATTTGTAGCTGGGGTGTCTGAGAAACTCAGAAAGGTTTTAAAAAAACATCACATCCCTGTCTGCTTTAAACCCAGCAATACACTGAGGCAACAACTGGTTTACCCAAAAGACCCAACACCAAAACACAAGATGAACAACATTGTGTATGCAGTCCAGTGTAGTGAGGAGTGCTCAGAATTGTATGTCGGTGAAACAAAACAACAGTTACACCAGCGTATGGCACAGTATAGAAGAGCAAAATCCTCTGGTCAGGATTCGGCAGTATACCTGCATCTAAAGGAAAAAGGTCACTCCTTTGAAGACAGTCAAGTACGCATCCTAGACAGGGAGGAGGACTGGTTAAAAAAAGAAAGAGAAGCCAAGCTTGAATGGGGGGGTGAGACATCTATTGTCTGCCACATACAATGCTGTTTTAACACCTCTCTCTGGGCAGGTTAATAACAACTCCTAGACTTCCCATTGTGCAAATGCAATCAACAGCAGGTTGTGACTAACAGATTATGTGGATTGGAGCGAAATTCACCATATTTATTCCCAGAGATTTTTTTGTACAAGTCATTCTGAATTGAGAAAGCTGGTCGGATGTCCAGTGAAATGTCTTCAAGAAAAATACAGCAAGTCCAGTTGCCTTGACTTATTTTTTACAGATAAAGATAGTTAAAGAAATGCTTATCTGACAAGCTTCGTTTGTAGAGATGGAAATGAAAACTTCACTGCAAATTAAGAGAAAATACTGAATTCTGAGTTGTATATACTGTATGAGCTGAACTGAAGAAGCCCCATTTTATGACCCAGAAATTAAACCTGAAACTGTAATTTTATGAAGAGGATCCAGGAGGGGATAGTATAAGTTCAGAACAAAAAAAAGTAACTGCAATTTTATGGAACCCTATACAGTACATGACCTAATAAATAAGGTGTGCAGGAGGAAGAAATGCCATAGAAATAAATTTGAAAATAATTTGCCATATTCTCAAGAAAGGAGACAAAACAATAAGTAGGAATTATTGTGGTATACATCACATATAAAGTAATGATGACATTCTTAACAATGTGATTAAAACCTTATGCTGAAGAGATACTGGAAGTCTATCAATGTGGTTTTCTGATAAATAGGTCAACCACAGTTCTGTTAATAATGGTGCTAGAAAATGTGGTAAATATAATATCAACCAACACCACCTGTTTATTAATAACTAGCAGGCGTATGAACGTGTTAGAAGAGAATTATTATTTGAAGTATCACAGAATTTGTAATCCTCAGTAAACTCAGAAGACAAGTAAAGATGCCAGATACAAGAAGTAAAGTAAAATGCAAAGACAAAAGCAAGAGGCAATATAGTTAATAGTGGACAGTGGCAAGGTCATGCACTGTCACTGTCATGCATGTTAGTCATTGATAGTAAAACAATGTTTTGTTTTGGATAAAGTAGGAAAGGGTTAGAATCCATGTCAGTACTGTTTGCGCCTTTTCTGTCCACTTCAGGATAATTCACCCTCTCAATTAAACCTGGTGGCTACAATCAATGGGGATCAGAGATATGCTACATTAAATAGGCTTGGTTTGGTTGTATGAAATGTGATAGAACCCTAGATTGTCTGCCATTTACAGAGTATCTAGAGCATGTCAATATAACACAAGCCTTCTAAAAGATAACTTGAACTTGGAGAAACACAGAGGCTGCCACTGCTGAAATCCTTTTCTAAACATGCTAGTTACCTAGATGTCATGCTTTTTTATTAGCAGGAATACTTTTTCAATACCAAGTTACTGACATGGTTAAAGCATGCAGATAATGAGTTCTTCCAGTTCTTTTCAGAATAGTGAGTCAAAAAGTATGGAAGCTAGAGACAGCCAGATAGCTAGCATGTCCACAGAGTTTAACAATGGCAGCTTACTCGTTTCTCTTAGCGCAAATTTCCTAAAAGTAAACCTGTAATGATAAATATGTGGGGATGACATTGCAAATCTTTTTTTTAAAATATGTCACATGGATATTGTGCTTAACCACTGACATTACATTCTACATCATTGTCCTAATATTCTGGAATAGTATCATTTCCTTCCCTGAGCAGGAGACATATAAGTAACTTGTGTACAGTTAAATACATTTATGTACTTGCAATATTTTTATTTTCCAGAGCTGCTAATTATCCTATTGGCCTGGGATTTAACCAGATTACTTTACATGTTATGGATGAATCCAAAACAGTACCAGTATTGTTGAGAAGCTACAGAATAACTGTACATAGGGAAGATCGTCCAAGCATGCCCTTGTTTGACCATCACAGATTATGTGGCTTTATACAGGTACAGTAGTAACTTAATGATTATAATTGTTTAAATAGTATTACATTTTCAAGTTGAACTTAAAAGAAGCGACCCCATCAGTTCCCTAAACAAATCTGCAGGACTGAGCAGTGACCTAGGGGTTGGAGAAGGTAACCACAGTGCGTGGTATTTAATACTCCAAAAGTGTCCAATACTTAAGAGTCTGATAATACATCATCTGTTGCAGAAACCTGCCATTTAGATTTTTTTATGGACCTGACAGGGTCTTTTTAAACATATCCTCTTTTTGTTGTTATAGTCTGATAAATATAAATTGTGTTAGCAGGCATTGTAGATTTTGATACTACAGAATGAATCTATTCCTTTTGCCTTGAATTTAAAGAACAGATAAAACAATAACTGCTACAAATACTTTAGATCCAGATGTTTTATTTAGAGAAGACAGGCCTTAATATAAGCAGCATTGCATGCTCTCTGAATAAAGTATTACTCATCTGATGATACACCCATTAAAACTATGGCCCTGGGATACACTAATCTGTTGATGAATTGTCACGTTTTCCCTGCAGAATTAATTTAGGTCTTGTTTAATGATCAGGGCAGCCATCAGGGGGGTAAGGCCGATACTCATGTAAGGGGCACGGGCAGCCTGGGGGGCCCCACCCGGGTCCCTTACATGGCCGACGGTGAAGGGCGAGGAGGCGGAGTCCTGGCCCTAGCAGCGCAGGGCCCCAGCATTGCCGCTCCAGCGGCTTCGAGACAAGCTAGGGCCCCATCAGCGACGCTGCTCGTCTGATGTCGGACTGGCCGGAAGTGACCTCACGTTAGTGACGTGACGTCACTTCTGGCCGGTCCGGCGGCAGACAAGGCCACGTGTTTAGGTAAGAGGAGCAAGGAAGGAAAGGAGGGGAGGGATGCAGCCCTGACCAGCCCAAAGGTCAGAACAATTTGTTCATGGGTGGGTAGAATGAACCATGGTGAGGGGTGTGTTATCAGTCATTAGCAAGTTTAAACCTCTCTCACAGCAAGTTTTATGTTAAGGATTGCAAATACCAAATATCTTCTAATATTAAAAAATATATAATAACGTATAATTTTCTTCTTCTTCGTCTTTTCTTGTGTCTTTTCTCGCTTTAGCAACCATGAACTTATAGCAGAACTGTTCCCCGAACTGTCACCTTTAAATTAACAGCGGTCATCATTGGCTTACAAGCCGCTGATGACCGCTATTAACAAAAATACCGGGCGCCCCCCGCCGGCACCACTGCCGCCGGCCACCGGTATCTGGAGCCTCTCATCCCTGCCTGGAGCTGCTCCCGTTGGGGGACAGAGGAGTGAGCGGTGGCTGGCGGGGAGAAGCCGCAAGTTTCAGGATGGCCGAGCGGTGAGGAGAGCGCAGTCGCTGTCATCCTGTCAGCTTGTGGATGACAGCGGCTCTGTGCGTGGCTGAGCGGAGGTATCAGTGATATTTACTGATCCTCTGTGCACAACAAACACTGGAGTGATCGTCTGATCTCTCCAGTGTTTGTAAATAGTACTATGTGTCCCCAGTTATGAATGAACAGGATGTGAGTTACATCACTTCCTGTTCATTTATAATGATTTTCTCAATGAGGATTAGCACTCACTACAGAGGCTCCTCCCCATTCAGAAGCTGGTGATAGTAAATATTTTACTATCAACAGTTTCTGAATGAATGGGAAGCCTCTGTACTGAGTTCTTCGCATTCATTCAGTGCTGAGGCTGCAGAAAAAGAAATGGAGGACTCTTGTGTCCTCCATTTCTTTTTCTATTTCAAAAGGTAAATTTAGACCCCAGATATTTCACCGTAGCTCCTCCAACAGTAAAAATAAAATAATAATTATTAAAAAATAAATAAATAATGTGTAAAAAATAATAATAAAAAAAGCACATCCCCTCCCCCACACACATAACATACACGTGCACCATATTGTGGTGTACACCATGCACATGCGCTGCAGTGTGTTGTTAGAACGCATCGCTGTACATGATTTTTTCTTTTTTTCTTTTAAAAATACATTAATTTAACTGTGACAGTGCATGGCAAAGCTTTGTGATGCATTGCCATGCATTGTGATACCTTGTGTTGCAATTAAATATACGCCAGTATCAATTTAATGAAGAGTAGCTTCTCATGTAGAGCATTATACTGTAAATCAGATAGCCAGCCTCTATGGTCATATTATCTTCTACTTTTTTATACTGTATGTACAAAACACATGAAGTCCTTATAACTCTGTGTTGTTGATTGATTGTATTGTATAGTAGCCTGTGTTTTAAATTATATTGTTCCTTGGAATAATTATTTCTTAACCACTTGAGTATCAGCCCGCATATACCCCTACTCTACCATATTATCAGTGACAGTTTGACAATTACTTGGTGATGCAACACTGTACCCAAATGATTTTTGTTATAATTTTATGAGACAAATAACCACTTTTTTTAAAATGATTTCCTATGTAAAGTGAAAAGTTGTGGAAAAAAACCCTGTACCAAGTAAATATGCCAGGATAGTAGAAAAAAAATCTGGTGCTAATTATTCATTCTTTAACCTCTTGCCGTCCGCCCGTAGTAGAAAAACGGACGGACTGCACTGCTGCATTGGCGGGTTGCCGTCGCCAGACGGCATTTTTTTTCTGCTCGCGCGCGCCCCCTAGCGGGCACGCAGGGCGGACGTCAAGTGGTTAATTAGTTACTCCTCCTTCCATTGTAAGAGGAAAGGGGGGGGGGACTCTTAGTTGTAAACAATACATTGTGTACATCTGTGATCACTGTGATATTTCTGGAATGATGTTTATACACGTCTTTCCAGAAAAGGTCATCTACCTCCCCGTTGTTTTTGTTGCAATATGGTGGTAGGGACGTGGTTAAGATATTCCTATTTTTCAAGCTTCCATTGATTCCTAACATGAATATAGTAATCTGCTATTTGCTTGCATAAATTGCATTAGTGTAAAAACAGGCTTTGTAAACACACCTACATAATGTTTCCCTAAAGTGTTACCATTTAGAATTTGGCTCACATGTGCTAATGATAAAGTGTATATAAAAATGAAATTAATATATTGCATCTTACCAGCCCTTACATGTGGTGACTGCATTAGTTTTATTTTTTCTGATTTTTTAACTTTATTTTTCCTACGTGATCCTGCCAGTCGCACATTTTCTCCCCTAGGGTGGCTAAGCTCACTCATGGCACTGTATCGGTGGAGGAGCCGTAATGTTACCTTAGGACACAAAGTGTGTTGGGACTACAGAACTCATAACCCTCTCCTCATCTGTTTAACTGTAGGGGGAGGTGTTGTGGGCAGTGCTGATGATTGATGGGGCTGATAAGTACAGCACATGCAGAGAGTAGAGCACCGGAGGTTACAAGCTCATTGGATTTCTGGCGGGAGGATCTGTACTCACAGCATTTCTAAACAGACATAACACGGCGATATGTGCATGCATTGGAGTGATGTACTGAGTATTTTATTTTTTATTTTCCTCATTCATACACTTCAAATATGGAAGTGTGGCTCAGCAGTCACCGGTATATCAAAGAGTAGGGAAAACCTCTTAAAGCGAATATACAAATCTTAGATAGAGTAAGGAATGGTTAAGACCCTACTCTATTTGCTTCCTTCTCTTGCTGTCTAGGTTTTACCATGGATATCTCCATTTACTTCCCTTCCCAGAGACAAAACAGGAAGTAAAAGATAATCTGCTCCAAAGCGAGGGGAAATCTCCTTTTTGACAGTTGACACCAGAACAGCTGTCCCTATTGGAAAGTTTCTGCTGTTAATTCTGCTAATGCAACAACTGTTAGTTCTTCATGCAACAGAGACATTGGTCACCAGAACACAAAAAGTGTAAATTTCCCCAGCAGGGACATAGACAACATTAAAAACCTTAAAGGATTTTATAACCTTTTCATGCTCTATTCAAAATGAAAAACAAATCAATAATTTTGGGTGGTATTTGTGCAAAAAAGCCAGCACCATACTACAGGAGGTACTTACAATAACTTAAAGTGACACTAAACTCAGGAGTTAAGAATGTATTCAAGTTCCTTAACAAGTAACAACAATGTATCTTATTTGTGTATCACTCAGCTGTAGATCTTCAAATTGTCTCTGAATTAGTCCTGACACTGTCCTTCCTTCTGGAGGGTGGCTACTTTTGTTCCCCATGGTCCCTGTGTGTGTTTTAAAGTAGCCACCACTACAAGCTTGCTCCCTTGACAAAATATAACTTTAATACAAGTTAGCTAACTAAACATGAGATTGTAGTCCATCATGGGAGCAAGCTTGGAGCTACATGACTACTTTACAACATACACAGGGACCATGGGGAACAAAAGTAGCCACCCTCCAGAAGGAAGGACAGTGTCAGCATAAATTCAGAGATGATTTAAGGATCTAGAGCCGAGTGATACACAAATAAGCTGGATTTTAGTTAATAGTTAAGGTACTTGAATGCATTTTTAAGATTTAAAGGAGAACTATGGGGTGAGTGCTTTTCACTCACCTCATAGTTCTAAGCCGACCTGTGACAATGAGACTGTCACAGGTCGGCTCAGTAGATCGGGAGGTGAGGGAACACATACCGGGTTCCCTCACCTCTCGATCCTGTCACTGCTCTCTGCCGTGACAGGGGGAGGGGCTGGATTCCCCTCTCCCCGCTCCGATCTGCCAGCGCTGACTGGCGGAACGGACGGGGGAGTGGGCGGGTACAGCTGGCTCTAACTCTAGGTAGGCAGAGCCAGCTGTCACTCACGCAGCTGGGCGGATACCGTCATCTACGTCGGGATCCGCTCCAGGTGCGGCGTCTCAGTATACCGTGAGCTGTAGCTCGTGGTATACTGAGCTTAGGGTAACGGGAGGACGCTAGTTTGTGTCCTCCCGTTACCCTGAGGAGAACTATGGGGAAAAACACTGACCCCATAGTTCTCCTTTAATTTCTGAGTTTAGTGTCACTTTAATATCTTTGCAAATTCAGTTTATTGGGTTCATTTATAGACGATTTTATCATATGTGTTCTCTCCATACAAAAACTAAGTTTGACTGACTGGATTATCTGAAAAAATAGGTACATTAAAGTTCCTGTGGCAAAGAACAGTAAATAAAATAGCACAGAATCTCCAGTCATATCTATTTGTGTGTCTGCCTATGAATACCCATCACAAAGCAGCAGGGGAAAATATGGCTCAACACACATGATGAATAAATTAGA